AGAGTTCTTTGATTAAAACACAGAAGGCAACGGGTGAGCAGAGGGGAGGAAAAAAAAAAAAAAAAAAAAAATCACATTTCTAAAGATCTGTTTGTGTTCCAGTAAAGATCTCTGGCTCTTTCAGCTTGCTGTGATCCCACGAGCCTCCGCAGCCCCCCCTGCCCGCACTCCCACCCAGCTGCTGCGGGCAGCGACCGAGGCCCACGTTCTTCGTCTCCACGTCTACATCGAGCCTCAGCATAATCTGTCCAGGACCTCGTGCTGAGGTACTTCCTAACAATGTTTATAAATCGCTACCGAATTTAGGTCCATTTAATGGTAATTGAATGCTATTAGCAAAGCCAATGGTAAGCACAGCCCTTGTGAGGAACGCGGGACGGCTCTCACCTCCGCACCGTACTGAATTTGGGTCCATTTAATGGTAATTGACTGCTATTAGCAAAGCCAGCGGCAAGCACAGCCCTCGTGAGGAACTCGGGATGGAGAGGATCCACCCGCTCCTCACCTCACGGGGCGATGCCGTCCGCAGCTCCCTGCTTCAGGAGGCTTTGATCAACCTCTGCGGATGACGGAGATCGGAGGTGGAAAAAAAACCAAAACCAAACCACAATCCACAACAGCTGTACCAATTATTTCAACCTCATCTCCCTGTTTCAAACTAACGAACTGAGCAGCAGCACCTCGGCGCGCTCACCGAGCCGCTAACGCTGTAAAGCCGGGCGGGCTCCGCAATCTGCTTCCTTCTTGTCGACGATAAACAACAGCAACTGTTACGAAAACGACCCACTTCACCCAGAACTCTACAAAAACGAACCTACCGCTGAAGGAAGGTCCTGCTCCGGCCAGGCCGACCCTTTCCCCGCCGTCCCCCACGGCCATCACTTGCTGGCAGCTGCCCTGGGCGCGAAATGGCCTCTCCGTGTAATGGCGGCTGCTGGCGAGAAGGTTCTGGAAGCGCAGGGGCTCCATCAGACACAGGGAGCCAGGCCCCGCTCCCCCTGTGGCCCAGCCGGGCAGGGATCCCTGTGGAGATTCCCATGCGTGGGGATGCTCCAGGAAGCCCACAGGGGCTCCATCTACTAGGGCTAGACTTGGCCAAGTAGTAATTTATCACATATTTCTGCTCCGTGAAACCGAAAGGCAGCCCGCACGCTGGAAACTGCTGTGTCCGCGGCCGTGGGACTGGGAGGAGAGGGGCTGACAGGCGGGAGGGCTGGCACCCGTGCTACAAAGCCGCGGAGATCGATCCTCTGACAACGCACAGAGAAAAGCTGGAATTGACAGATCAACTCGGCAAAGGCTGATGCGTGGCAACGCCTTGCAGAGACAACGGAGGATAGATTCACTTTCAAAACGAAGGCACATGTCTTCCAGAAACGGCTGTACAGCCACATAGGAAGCTGAACTAAGGGATTCAGCCAAATTGACCACATCAGTTTATTAGGCAAGCTGAGAAGCAAAACTGTGGAATTAGGAGGAAAGACAGCAAAGCATGATGGAGAAGAAAACAAATTAGAGGGAACAGGGTAATATTTAGAAGCAGATTGTCACTGCCCGTCAGCCAGCCATCAGAATAAGGTCAGACACAGTGCTGGCTAGGAACAAGGAGCTGGGACGATGACTGTGGAAGTCATTCACGCCACAGCAAGCAAGTGCAGAGTTGAGGCACCATCCAGGCAGCCCCCGCGGGCAACTGCTCCTCCTGCGGCAGCTCATCCTACAACCCCAGCGTAGCCCTCAAGGGCTCCCGCATCCAGCGGCGCAGGAGCAATGCCCTTCTCAACCCCCAAAATCACCGCAGGAAAAGCGACTAGAAGCATGCGGCAAGTGAAGTGATCCGCTTGGTGTATGTTAAATGTTCCCAAAACACACGGCTGTAACGGGGCGAGACGGGCATTTGGCCAGAGGGCAACGAAGCGTCAAAGAGCCCAGTCCAGATTAGGCAGAAGACAGATTTCAGGTGATTTAGCCTACAACAGCCTTATGCAGAGAAAGAACTCAAAATCAAACAAGGAGTCACCGAATGAGTTTGGGCACGTTTGGGCTAGATACAAGCCTGCCAGGAAGGGGGATGTCTGGACTGAAATTCTGGACTCACTGGCCTCAAATCTTCCTTAGGTGTTGAAGTGTTTTTAATCCGATTTATACCCAGTGAGGAATATCAGACCCAGTGTGTCTGGTAACGAGAAAGACTTCACTGGTATGTAATGTTCATATCCTCTCTGTCATAAATGGAATAGTGAGTGCTGTGTTATTCTCTGGAAAGAATATATAGAAAAGTATTATTAAAAAACCAACGCCTACTACCTTTCATGTATTGTTTCTTTTGCTAGAAAGGTACCTCAGGATTAACAGATTATCAGTACATTAGCATTCATGGTTCTGAATAAAGTGTCTCTGGTCATTTTTTTGTGTGTGCACGGGCTGGTAACTTAAAGGCTATGTGAAATTGCTTTGGATGTTAAATAATATGCAGAGGAAATTGCATTAGATGGCAGGGAAGAGAAATGTGACTTTGTCATTAAGTCTCTAACGTACACTCCTGTTTTATCCCCCTCCTCCCCCCGAGAATAATATGGCATTCAATTTTCCAATTATATAAATACATGAACACTGGATTACTAGAGGCAGATAATTGAATATTTTGACTATTCTACAAGGGACCCTTCATGTTTGAAGCGGGAGATAAACAGGGCATGCTGCATCGGCTTCTGTATGCACAGGCTATAAAAATCTGAATTAGATCCAGAGAATATAAAGATCTCTAAAACAGAGAGAGATCTTACCAGTGTTCATTATATACAATAGTTAATTTATTCCACTGATAGCAGGGTAACTTATACAATAGCAAAACCTGGATATTTTAGGCCATAGATTGTACCACTTTAAAGCTGTAAGGAAAAGCATTCGCAGTTGTAGCATTTCAAATCCGACTCTTCTGTAGCTCTGTCTTTACAGGACATCAATCACAAGATGAGAGAAACTGTAAGCTATTTTCTAGTAACACACTGCCAATCGCAAGACAAATGTCAGATGTCACAAAATGAGAAGTAACCATTTTTCAACTTGTGAATGTCTTCAAATATATTACAATGAAAGTATGAAAAAAAATGACCCTTTCAGCTTCATTTGTTCTGACAGATGCCAGACCTTGGAGTTTGGCATTTTATCTTCATACTGCAATAATCTTTATGAAACTTAAACAAGGCTGAGGGCAGCGGCATTAGTCTACAATTGTCCTCTTACGTACAATACATAAAATTTCAAACATTCTAACCGTTGAACTAGAAAAGATCATCTACTACTACTCTTATTGGTGTTACAGAAAAAGACAAAAAGAAGAAGGGATGCCCACATCCAATATTAACACATGCTAGGTATTAGTTTCTTGTGGGCTCAGATTGACTTCTGCATTGTATTGCCATGCTGCTGATTGCCACTTAGGAAAAATGCATGCTGCTTAAAACTAACATCAGAAAAGAAACTCTAAACTTTTCCTGAAGTGAGAACTCACTCGATACCATGCGTGCATTTTGTCCATGACTTTAAATGAGTGGAGTCCCTCTGCACTGACAATGTGCGTCCAAGGTCACGTTTCTGACACACCAGCCATTGGAACATTTTGACATGGAGCTCAGGTAATTTTCTCCAATCCAAAGCTAAATGCCCAGACCCTGTCCCATCTTACAGCTTTGCAATTTTTGACAGTATGAAGAACACTAGAACATCAGCAGACTCATTAACATTACAGAATAGAACAAACGAGGAAAAATCAAACTTGGATGTAGACATACATTATTGTAATAAAATATCAGACCAAAAAGAATTTGACTGAACAGCCCTGAAGTTCCAAGTTATTCCTGTCCTTTCAGCCAGTCTCATGTTCTGCTTAGCCACCCCCCAGGAAGAGTGTGATTATGGAAGTCATCGTTCATTTCTTGAAAAATAAAACTATACTCTGTACAACTCCAGTGGTATAGCCCAGCATTCTTGACAAAATATCCTGTTAAATAATATAGATCTAATTTGTACAGAGTTATACTGTTATTTAAGGGAAAAAAATGAAGAATGTGTGCAAAGACAAAAAAAAATCTGCTCTAGGTGTTACTGCAGGTCCAAATAGGGTAACAAACATGCAAAAGGCAAAAAATAAGCAAACCTAGAAGTTAGCCTAAAGTCAGTGACAGGATTGGTTTCACTGGAATCTAAATGAACTCTTAGGCCTTTACAGTGTAAAGCTTTTTGCAGAAGCAGTGCTTAGTACCTGAAGACAAAACCATCACTTGATTCACCAAATTTGACTTAATGAAGTAAATTTTTTCTGTGAATAAGTGTGAGCTTATTGGTTCTGTGGAAGCAAAAGGATAAACATCTTTAGTTTTTCTTTAAAAAATTAACAGTACTTGTCATGGCGAAGACGTGTACAAAGCAGTAGAAGCCAAAATGTGATTTCAGTGTTTTAAGACTGACTTTAAAAAAATAAGTACATAGACAATGACCAAATCTGCATTGATTCCAACATACGCAGTCCAAGCCACCGAAAGGAGAGGGTCAAAACCTGAAGTCTGACCACAAATGTAATTCCAGGTTTCAGTTTTCCAAAGTCCACAACTGGTATTTGAGACTGCAGCTCCTTACTTGGTTTCCATGATACCTCCAGTGCATACAAAGCAACATAATTCCTTTGATATGAGTGTGCCTCTCGATCAGTGCAATTAATCCCACGATGCTGGTTATCATCCCACTGTATTTTGGTCCTTGTCTTCACACGTGGTTTTCTATATGCTTGGGATGAAAGCACAGTTTGTCACGTGAGGTGTACTGTAGGTCCAACAGAGAGGTAAATTAATAGCCATTGCCAGGATCATTATTTGAGAATGGGCTCTTGCAGTAGACTTTTTGAAGAGTGTAAATAAAAAAAAGCTGAAATAAATAATTGTGACTATCAGATGAAGGAATTCAAGAGTCTTGTCTCTCCTCCTGCAGTACATGCATGTACCTGGGAATTAATTCTCAGTTCTGTCCTGGTGAATTAGCACCATTAACAGTGATGACTTCTATAATCTGCAAATTTACTAGCTGCGGCCGTGCGATTCAGGAGGGGTGTATATGCAGCTGGTGTAAGGTGAAGTCCATCTGCCTGACAAGGAACTACTGCACTTCGGCGGTCCACAATTGCACGGCCACAAACCAAGCGCTTTTCATCCAGGGCAGCCAGATGATACTCACAAAAATGAATTAGCGATGCCACTTGCTCATGAAGTGGGAGGGACTTGTATTTTTTCTGAGCCAGACAGAAGAAAGCTTCGACAAAGGCTTGCAAACACATTCCTGCAAGGAAAAGGTGTTTATAGGAGATTCATAGCACAGTGTTCTCTAGCAAACTACATTCTTTAAGCATAATACTATCTCTTGCTTCTTTTGGCAGCAAGGCCAAATGTATATGTGCTGGGTATGGACACATACAATTGTGTTAGTTAACATCTTTTAATTTAAACAGCAGCCATCTAGAATCCTCACCAAGAAAAGAAACCGTCTGTCCTTCAAAGACCAAAAGACAACGTTTTATTTGTATGTAACACACACGCTCATTTAGTATTTCAGTACAGGGCATACCCAGGCTGGGTTACAGACGGGTGATACTCTCTGTCACTGAGGCTATTTCTGGTTTTGCAGACATCAGCCCGACCAGCACCCTGGCATCCAGAGGCAAACTGGTACAGCAACAACCAATTTTAAGATATTGTACAATTAAATTGATGTGATATCAGCCTTGACTTCTTCTGCCTCAAATATTAAATTGAAACCAAATCAGACACAGAGTAACATATTGAGCTTCAAGGAAGACAATCTACCTGGAGAAAAAAAAAAGTTTATATCGGCAACTGGATTGGGTCATTGAAACCTTGTATTTTTAGAGATGGATCTAAAAAGTTCAAATGTACAACTACTGAAACAGTATGTAATTTCACTCTGCAGCACTATAAAGATAACCCCATTACCAAGTACCACCTTATCACAGAAGTGAGTTTATTCGAAGCGTTACTTTCCTTCTGCAAAGACTGTACTAGGTATGAATCCTTAGCCTTAGAGGCCATTTTTTTCAGCCACACCCAGTAACTCTACAATAGTAGTTTTGTTTCAATTGAATTAAAAACAGTTGAAGTGTGTACGAAGGGAAAGTAGTGTAGTGCCAAAAAATTTCTCTGCTATAATAAAACTCTCTGCTCTGCCCCTTCACAAACAAAAGTCCCCTGCAGAAGCCACATGCTGCAGTACAGACTCTTCAGGTGTTGCTCAATCACATCTTACTAATAACACATTACCACAGCCAATGGAAAGAGGGGCTGCATATTAACACTAATTATTGTATTTAAAACCTTGAAGTAATACCTACTTTAATTCTTAATTAAGAAGCCAGACCACAACTGGTTTTGCAGAATGCCAGCAACAAGGAACAGTTATAGCTGCTTTGTGCTTTAACTGGCTTCCCAGTTTGAACATACACTTAAGAAGATTATTTTAGGATGTGATATTGAAAAGTTTGGGTTTTTTAACTTACTGTTGGCTTATTTATGCTGCAGGAAAGGCACCTTTTCAAAATATTACAATTACCTTCTGAAGTATAATTTCTCTCAACTAAGGCTGCAGCTGGGGTTGCTTACGATCTTGCCTGTAAAATAGCTTGCAAAGGAATTGGTGAGTTATCTGAAAGCAGCAGCTGCCAGCTCAGTAAATTATTTTATCAGTCACGGTGAGCTGCAGACAGGGAAAGCACCTTTGGTAGCATACACACTTTCTCCCCCATAAGTGACACTCATGTGAAGCATTTAATAAAAAAGTTAGAAGCTGCTGTTTTATGACAACAGCAATAGTTACTGTATTGATTACAGCTGGAAGTGGGCCAAACGCAAAGCCAACAGAAATGGTTGGGTATTTTGTGTTGTAACACCTGGAAAACATCTGGTTCATTGAGACTGTCAACAAATAAATCTCTTCATTTCTGAAAGCCTGAATATTCACTTGCATTTCTATCATTTTTGCTAGTGAAATTCTATCAGCTAACCACATAAATGACTTATACCCACACTGAAATGCTAAATGCAAATGCTCAAATTTTACATACCTGTGAAACTAAGGTGACCCTAACCTACCTAAACTAGTACAGGAGTTCACGCATAATAAATCATACTATCTCCTCTGCACTATACTTTCCTTTTCTCCCTTCTAATCTTAGATCTGGACTTATTCTTTTCATCAGCCATGTGAACAGTCTATTTTACTTATTCTCCTTTTCCCTTATCTGTCTTCATATTATTCTCCTTTTCCCTTATCTGACTTCATATACACAGACTCTACAGGTTATTATAGGATACCTATGTTCAAGCAAGACAAAATAATACTTATCTATTTCATACAAATATAAGCTTCATTAACATTTCTGAACCATGTTCAAATACTCAAAAAAAGGTTATATATAAATAATTTTACTGCTGTCACACCTGACCATGGCCTTTTATGTGTGTCACTAATTCTTGATGTTTATGCAGGAGGGAACTACAGACGTATTTTAGGGAGGTGGGATAATAAATACAAAAGTCAGTCTCAACTTGGAGACTTTTGTGTCTTCTGCTATTTTAGCATTCAAAAAAAAAAGATGCAGGAGTATATGCATTGATGTCCATGTTCAGCTTCTTACATAAAAATATATTTTGAACCGATTTCTGGGAAGATGCCAGCTTGCAGCTCTGTGACCAGCATGCTAGTTTATGCCAGCAGCATCAATGTGGATTTCTTTATCCCACACTGATTTAAATGGAACCTTGACAATCCTCTTTGATGGCCACAAGAAGCAGTGGCATAAAACCTTCCAGAATGCTCCAACTGCTGTTTCCCTGCTATAAGTGGCTCAAAAAATGTCATCAGGAACATTTAATGTTTTTTTGTTGGTTTTTTTTTTGAGATAGGAGTATTAACACAATTGAAATGATTCAACACTTTACAAAAGCGATATGGAAAAGTTGCCAAATTTATGGACTCAACTTCATATAGAAATGTAATAGCAATTCTAGAAATTAAGCTATATATTAAATGTAATATAACAAGAAAATAATCCCTGTACTCTGCTATTTGATAGATTACTGTCTCAGATCTAAAAATGTGACTAAAGCAGATGGGGAGGTAATTCACTACTGAAGGCTATGTTGGCTGTTTGACCCAGCTCCTGCATGAACAATTTACAGCAAGGGGTGCTTGTAGCAAAAACACACTGCTACTCATCCTTAATAAGAGCCTCTTTAATAGCTGAGCACTGTGCAAGTTTGTGCAGAAACCTATTGTCCTTCCCTCGCCCATCACAATGACAATGAAAATGAAAAAAGGGAGTGTACTGTTGGGCAGGTCACACACACACACACACTCCCTGGGAAAGGAAAAGTAACACTGGTAGTTTTGTTTGCCCCAAAGTAACCTTTTTGGGGAACACAAAACAAAAAGAGAAGTTAAGCATATTTATTTCTAGCTCCTGCATAGCTTTTGGTTTGGTTGGGTTTTGCTAGGCCATGTAAGCTACTCTAATATGGACATGCCTTCTTACACTGTAATTAAGTTGAAGGTTCCACTGGAAATGGTTTTAAATGCTTCTCTGCGAACAGCAACAAGTCTTACAAATGCAAAATTGCAAGCATAAAAAGGGGCTTGCAGAAGACTTTTTCCAATAAATAAATTGAAAACTAAGAGTGATCTGTTCTGTAGATAAAGGGAAACTGCACAGAACTAAACAGAAGAATTTGTTGTACACGTACATGCCCCAGATGCCTTGGTCCCATTTTTTTAATGGAATGTTTGAAGTGTGCTTGAGCTACCAAAATTGCAAAAAAACCCCAGCTTCCATAGTCTGCAAACACAAAATAGTGTTACCCGATTCTTTGTGGTCGATTCCCGTGCTGTTCCACCTTCTTGTGATATCAATATATAAGATATCTACAGAAGCCATTGAAAAATTGCTGTTACTCAATTTGCAGTTTCTGTTAAAAACAGACAAAATAAAGAAGAAATTCTGATTATGTCCAAACTTCCAAGTTAGGAAAAATTCTGCAAGGGCAACTGAAAGAACACTGGGAGAAAAGTTTACCCATATCATATGTACACACTCACCGTAACGCGCTTAGTCTAATAAAACACATACAGCAGACAGCAAACAAACCAGCGTTCATTAGGTTTACATATCTGAAATGGTACAAGCCCTGAATTTTTCACATGCAGAGCATCTCCTGTATGTACCTAGTCCTGCTGCCAGTTCAGATCACGCAGGCACCACCTCTGCCAGAAATGGCCCTGGGCAGGAGGAACGGCCCACTTCCAGGTGTGCACCTAAAAAAAAATCCAATTTGCACGTGGTGCAATCTCACGTCATTCTCTAGCCACAAAAAGGCAGCAGGTCATATTACAGATGAACTGGCTTATTTTGATTTTGCAACAAAGGGGGGGGGGGGAAACCCTGAGTATTTAAATTAAAAATATGACTTGACTGTTATACACAGCTTTCTCCCAGGCTATTGCCAGTACGCTTTCCAAGGCTGTAACAGAATGGAATTAATTGGTACATTGCAAAACCCAACACAAATCTGCACAGACTATCTACATGAGGCAGAGTTTACACAGAGAATACTTTCATTTGACTGACTGATCCTGTTTTAAAAGGGTTGGAGAAAAGCTTTCAGGCACAGAATTACTTCTTCATGCCTGAACACTGAACAGATTTACCCTGTGCGTTACTGAACACTGCATGGAAAACAGCAGCACCTCTGGATACATCTCCGGCATTTGGTGATAAGCACATGTAGGAGATCGACACTTGTGTGGTCTGAGCCTGCAGTGTAGTGTTGATCAATATATGAGAATTAGCCATCTGTCCAGTATTTCCAGATGTCTGGCAGCCTGGCTGGAACTAGTGGACATGCCAAAGAGCTGGCCAAAATTTTTAGCCAGAAAAGGAAAAAAAACCCCAACCCAAACCCCAAACACTGGATAATTTAAAAGAATCTTACTCTTTAGTAGCCTAAGCAGAGCTCCCTTAAAACAGAGCGTTAAGGTCTGGCCTAAATAGTCCTCCAAAAATCTTAGGCAGCATCCAAGCAAGGACTAGAGCCACTAGAGCTGGTGTTTCCCTTTTAGTTATTTTTTAGAACAAAGAAATTATTGAAGGGGAACAGATTTCGATTAGCTAAAATTTGAGTCAATAGTCTCTGCAACCACTTGCCCACACATACATGCACACACATATACACAAAGTCACACTTGTGTACCATTTTATTCTTGAAAAGTGATACAGCACACATCTTAGAAACATGGCCTTATTTCTGAAATGAGTAGTAATGACAGCATTTCAGAAAAGGGCCATGCAGTTGGTATAGATCCTCTGGGAAAAAATAAACAAAATATTTGCCAATATTAAAAAGTTTAATTTAACATGCATTAGGAAACTGCAAACACTACTTCACTGAGATATGGCAATTTATTTTAATATTCTTAAAAGAAAATATTGGCATTTATTCTGTGTTAATCTGAAAAGCGTCGAATTAAGGCTGGACTAAACAATAGAAAATACAGAACTTGAAACAATCCTGTACTGGCCTGTGGATAGAGCAGATGCCTTCAGTCATTTTCTATATATCATAATTTGTATAAATCAAATTGTTTACATTCATTCCTGAATGCTAAATGCATCTGCACAGAAACAGGACCTGTATTTTAAGAGTACATCTGCTGCTGCTGCTTATTTCTTTTGTCATTGTCAATGAAAGACAGAAAATGAGATATTTGTACCATGACTAGAACAGATATATCCGTAAAAAACAATGAAAAAAACCCTCACGAATAAAAAGTACGTGAAAAAATAAATTGAGTTCCTTGCCATTGCAAGTTGCAATTTCACAATGCAAATCCTTGGTGCACAATGCATCAGCAACTGGCATTTGGAAATCCTTTCCTGTGGCCTGGGGCAGATGGCTGTGCCCCCAAAGCCAACAGAATCAGATCAAGTGAGCCCATTTCGGTTGTCACTTTCTCACAATGGTATTCTGATGATTTACTAGGAACGTGACATGTTGACTAAGACTGCAAATAGTATCTCCCAAAGTATTGCTGATCTGCTGTAGAATAAAGATGCAGGTTCCTATTAGACACAGTTTCATAGGTCAGGTATTTTGGGAGCTTGGAATGATAAAAATATATCTGTTTTATTAAAAAATATGCAATGGTTCAATAGAACTTATGGGGAAAAGTTTCTTTAGAAGGCATTACTAAACCTACAAGCAAAAAATGTACCACTGTTAGGGCCCGCTTTTATTCAACAAAACCTAAGATAAGCACAAGGACAACAGTACCACCCCACAGGATCACGAGTTTCTAAGTTCTCGACTATGGTTTAAGCAATTCCTAAAGAAACCTTCCCTTTACTAACCTTATAAATGTTCGGAAGCCTGTTGGCCCCAACTTTGTTGTCCCTTTTACACCAAGAAATCGGATAAACAGTGCAGCCACTCTGTCCACAAGTCGCAGGTAGTTGAACTGCTTCGCGTACTTGGGAAACACTTGCTTGAGACAAAGGGAGGGGAGACCAGCCTCTGGGCTTTTGGTGGTATCGTATTCCGGTCTGTCTGCCGGTCCCGCATCCAACAGCTCTTCGTTTGCTTCTGACACATGCTCCAAAGTCTGACACCTGTAGCACATAAAATAATTGTATCTTATGTTAACCTTATTCTTAGAAGATACTTTCTTTCTGGATGTTTTTAAATTATAAAACATTATTTTATGAGATCTTTACAATAATGTAGAATCAAGAACAAATACTAAGGTTCTCAAAAACAGAAACCATGTTATAGGAATATTTAAAAGGATAACGAGCAGACCATTCTCTGATGCCAAAAATAACACCTATAAATACGACTGACAAACAGATGCTGCACCATTACCAGGTTAATTGTGGGAGCTACCATTAACTCGTAACTCCCCTTGAAATGACTGGGAGCTGGGCACAATCATACCATTTTTCTCTAAGTTTTGAAATTTTGTTTTATACTAAACCACTCCTTTATCAAAATCTTGGGTTTACCACCCTAAGAAGGTAAGAGTGGGTGCCTGGTCACCCTAACACTGCATGGTCGCCTGGACCCCGTGCCCTTCTTTTTATATGGCCCTTTGGCTATTGTGTCCTAGGAAGAGGTCAGCAATTTGCTATGCAGGTATTAAATTGCAACGACTTCTAGCTGTGTACCTTCTGGGCACTGCCCAAGCTGCAGAAACAGATGGAAAACATTACCAGTGTTCAGAAGTTCAGGGGGATGGCTATCAATGCAGCTATAAAATTATAAAAATGAGTATTTTTTTTAAAAGGCGAGTGATTTTTAGGACCCCACAATTTTGACAATTTAAGACATTACATTTTCCATAGAACTCTAGCATTTTCTGAAAATCATTTTCCCTTAAATTTATTTCATATAAAACATTCCAAAATTGAAACACTGACAATAAGTAGTTACGTCTGAAAATCTTGATCAAGGTATGCCTGCATGATTCCCATACAATGCTTCAAAAATATTAATAGTGCATTCATTGATAAAGACATCTTAGTTTAATAACAGAAAGCCTGGATGGACATCAAATTGCATTGCTCCTTTCTGCATCCCTGATCTGGAACAATATTTTTCTTTCATAACCTTTTTTTTTTTTTTTTTTTTAAATTTTAGGGGGTTTTTTTCCTTCCCTTCTTGCTTTTCCTTGTCGTAACCAGTAATGCTCCTTAGATCACTTAATAAAGCTGAGGTAACAACAGGTTCTCAACAAATTGGGCCCCACTGAGTTAATTTTTTCTAAAATGGCAGGTTTTTGGTTTTTTTAATCCACATAGTTAAACGTTAAAAGCTAAACATTTCAACCTTCCCCCCCCATAACACACAAATTATTTTTCTCGATGTAGATTCATTGTGAAGCTGTAGAATATCCATATTCCTTTCAAAAGGTCTTTACAACCTCACGAAAGGTAACAGGCTAACTTCTTCCACATAGACAAGGAAACAGCAGATAGCAACTGCACGTTGGTGTTATCAGCATTGAACAAATATAGGTATGCAGAAAAAAGATGACTTTCATGGAATTTCATGGACTATTTCACTGGAAATGCTTAGAGATTGTAATAATCTAATTATATTTAAACGTATTTTCCAATAATGATTAGAAGCTTTTACCTTCCCTGGTAAGTAAGGTACAAAAGTACACTAAGATATATTTGCAAAGAAGAAATTCTAACAATACATTCAGAAGCAATACGGTTCACATAAATGCATACTTGCACTACTCAGAAGACAACTTCTGGGCAATCCCATTATTTTTTCTTCAACTCCTCTGTGCCTACTGTCAAAATACATTATTTCATCTTCATTGTCATTGCCAAATTCCCTAAATAAAGCTGATTGAGATAATAATGTTCCAAAATAAATGTTACATGTTTATTCAGCATGACATATTTTTAATTTTTTTTCTGCATTTGACATATCAAAAGAAAATTAAAGATTGCTATCCTCATAAGGTCAGAAAGTCTGATAGCTGTTAGTAATTATTTGACACCCACTAAGCATATGCAGGTTTTCATTTTCTTTCCAGCCACTTTTGTAAGTACCTATCATCAAGAGTAAGTGTAATTCACACTAGGTACTAAAAAAATTAGTGCTTTTACTACATTGATCTTTTGTGTTCCTGAGCAGATTTAGTGTCCTTCAGAAAGTTCTGTTCCAGCAGAAGATAACAATCAACAGAGTTATTATTCACCCACAGCACTGCAAATGTTATTAAGTCAGATCTACAGTAAATCTGTACCTTCCGACTTTGACTGCAAAAGACAGCAGATTTCCTTAGCCCTTGTACAACCACCCTGTAGTCAGTCATCCATAAAAAATATCCCCATGGGATATTCAGCCTCTCTCTTCTACTTCTAAATTTCCCTGAAAGACATTAATCCATTGCCATGCTGTGTCCGCTTTCAGTAGAAAATACTTCAAATTAATACTTTTAACTTCTAGTGAGAGATATGATGAAAATAAATGTATGGCAACTGTAAGACAAAGGGCCCTTACAGGAAAAAAAAAAAAGAATCGCAAAAAAAAAAAAGTTTTAATTAGTATGAACTAAATTGCAATATCTAATTTCTAAGAGACTTGTTTGGGGCCAAGTTTTCAACCCTGCTTGAATGTGGGCTCTGAACTCATTCACACCTCCAGATGTTACCTTCAAACAGCAGCAGCTCACCATCCACTGCAGCATCTGCCCAAACTATAACCACAGATGTGACTGCTCAGTGCAGAACCGGGACTGGAAACTTCTCCCTGCACCAAATGCCAGCTCCAAGTTTGTTTAGATGAACTTTGAACATTAGCAGAGGTTCCAACAGTTCTTTGTAAAAAGCATCCGCGTTCAGCCTCTTTTGGTGTTTAAGTACTTGTAACTGCCAAGGCATTGCTGCTCGGATGGGACTGTCACGCTGCGATTCACAAAGCATCTGTTCTTCTAAGACAACTATTGTTACAAACTTCTAAAATAACAGTACTTCTTTTGTATCCACACTTATATTCATTGCTTTTGAGTATCTGTAAATGTGATCATTTTTTGAGATAAAAGACTCTAAAAAAAAAAAATCTTTAAAAAATAAATAAAAATCTTAGGTAGTGCTTGGGTAATGTTCCTGTCTGCTGCAGACAGGAAAGTAGAAAAATAATGCTATTTTTGTCTTTAGTTAAGTAAAGCTTAAAGTAATAAATTATTAGCTTTGTTCTTTCTCATGTAAGATTGGATGGTGGTTCCACTGCCATGGAGTACCCTCTGGCTGCCAAAAGAGCGAGAGTATGTACAGCCAAGAAACAATAAGCATGCAGGCTTCTATTTTTAATCTTAAAAGGTCTGTTCATGAATTTAAAAATTCAAATACTCAGCCAGGTGAACTAGACCTTGACCAAATGTGAAACCTTGTACGCAGTGGGAGAGAGGTTGTGTTGTTTGTAACATAACTCTCGTTTTAGTGATGCCTGGAAGCCCCGACCCTTTCTCATTCTAAATTCTTGAGTGTTTTGGATTGTACATTATTCATCCATCATTAATGTTTTCAGTTAGGAAAATACAAAGCTTTACTTTAAAAGATGCAAGCAGAGCTGAGGAAATTTCATTAGATTTCATTTTTTACAGAAAATGCTGAAGAGACTGTTACAGGGAGCAGCTTCAGAGAGATTAATTACAGCCCCAGCACTCTTTGGTGCCTGTGCTGCCCAGCGTCAGGAGGGAGGCTGGAGTGGTGTCCATCCACTACACTACTGAGACAGGTTTGACTTGTAGAACAACGGCTCTCAGCGTAGTCGTCTTCTGCAAATCTGTTCTTCCTTCACAAATCCGTACCTCTTTCCTGCTGAAGGAACAGTCCCTGGAACTTCTGAGGAAATGCAGTAGTTTAAAAGAGGGTTTTTTCAGCCTTTTCATTTTTCAACCCCCATCCTCAAAGGAAATGTGAAATGGTCATGAGGAGAACACCCAAACCATAATCGTAAACAGATACCCTGGACACATTACTGCTGGGAGCCACAGAAGACTGTCTCTCTGACTGAGGGGGAAGGGACACAGTCAAATTATTAAATGGTACTATGTTTGGTTTGTATTAGGGTCATAGAAAATTGTGCTTGTAGAAAAAAAAACTCTATTATGGTCAACGAAAAACTATTGTTGAATGTAATAAAGCAGAGGCTCTAAACTACCATCTAGAATTTCCTTCTTCCCCGCCTTTCTTTGGAAAAAAGCCTACAGCTGCCTTTGAGGTCATGGATAAAAACTCAAAACCAGCTTTCCATTTCAAACTTTTACTGAAATAGCTCTTAAAACCATATTTCTTATTAGAAAAGTATTTTTTAAATAAAACCAGCTTTTTTTGTATGTTACTGCATGTCTCAGTCCTTTCCACTTACACATTGGGAAAGTCTATAAAATATTTAAATCAGAACAAGAAAACTTAATTCTAATCTTTATTGCCAAATATCGTACTTCCATTAAATAAAAAACAGAGAATATACTTCTTAATTTGCTTTTACAGGTTATTGCTTTTACAAGTTTAATGATTTGGTTTGATTCTTTAGCTTCCCCCTTCCCCCAAGATTTCCTGAAGTTTCCTTTTCTAATGCACTAGAGCTTAATTAATTTGATCATATAATTTGGATTAAAGCTATAGTTTTATTAAAAGTGAAAACTAAGACTTTCCAAAACAAACCTGCACAAGAGCTTGTCTGTATCTGCAAAACTGAGTTGATACATAGACTTGCCTATTCTTCACGCTCACCTTAACTGCAAGCATTTACACTGACTATATTTGGAGTATAATTCTCCACTGCTACCACAGACAACATTTCAATAAAAGTTTATTTTCTGTAGATCTATTCAACACACTTATATGCACCCAATCTCAATGTGGTCTCAACATGACTAATTAAGAAAAACTGCCTAGCTAGGTATATTACAGCCAGACTTGGTATCTATAAAAACAGAATTTTACTGTGATCTGCACATTTTTGCAAGGAAACAGTGCACAACATACTTTTTGCTCTAGCGCTAGATAAATTACACTCACTTGCAATGCACCGTTACATTTTCTTCTGTGTTTCTCTACCATCTGCCATCGCCACACCATAAGGG